TGCCAACTGAAACACGAGGCGGCCTGTGTGCAGCACATTAAGTTGTAGAATATCATAAACGAGAGATTCAGTTGAGTCTCTCGTGAAAAAATTGATTTGCAAATGAGTGTGTTTCTCGACAACCCAGTGTATTTTTACGAAATGCTGTTAGACGGTCGTTGCTTTTTTTCAATAGAATCGACTTCAGTACCGCTTTCGGAGACTCCCTCCACGAAATTAATTCCCTTTTCCGAATGTGTATCTCCTTGCTATGTCTGGACGATACTTGATGTCTGTCCAACTTAACATGGGTCAATTAGCGCGCATGTAGACAAATTATGGAACACACCCATTGTTTTCTTTTACATCGGGGCAGTCTCTGGCAACAATGCAACCTACCTACTAAACTTCTTCTGAGCACCAAGGCTTAGAAAGCTGACGATTCCCACACTTGCATACCTCTCCTACGAGGACAGTCATCACAAATACATATTCTGTTGCATCCGACACTGAAATGTCGGTACCATTGTTCATATGCGTCAGGAGTGTACCGTCTGACTTTTTCCCAGTTAATGCCTGTAAGAATTCAAGTTAACCGGACTAAACCCCTTATTTTGTCGTCATTTGCAGCTGACTGTGGGAAACTGCACTCCCAGCAGTCGGTAAACATCGTATATTGGTTAAGCAAGAAGTTTAGCTGTCGGTTGGTGACAGGATTATCCCGTTTTTCTCTTCGTCAGAATCCACAAAGAACTCTGCTGATGCCTGTGTCAATAGATTAGTGTGAGGAAGGTGCCCTACGATTTTTTTCAGAAACCAGAAGTGGCCGCATATCTTTCAATAGCGTAGCACCCGTGGTCTGTAGAGTTGATTTCCGTAGATCACTTACCCAAACCATAACCAATAAAAAATTAATTTGCATTCGAATATGGTTTTAACAGGAGATTCAACTGACCCCAGCTAGGCAGCAACGTATTGCAATATCTCAACTATTGTACCACTTGATACATGAGGTGGCCTGGTGCAGCACATTCTATTGAAACGAATGATCGTAAACGATAGATTCAACTGGATTCATCTGAATCCCATGTCAAAACCCAATTGGTATGCAACTGAGAGTATTCGCCGGAATCTGCCCAATTTAGGTTCACTTAGAACACACGGTCGGCGGAACCGGTCGTGAACTGTCGAAGATTTTTCAGCAACCGTATGAGTAGTGAGTTACGTCTAGACAATATCGTAGGTGTGTGGCAGACTCAATTCAACGACGCAACAGACGGACCGACAGTCAGACCAAATGCACATAAGTGATTTTTGGTTCAGTTTCAAGGATGGCTTTACCTGGTAGCAGTAGTCTCACATTGTCAAAATGCGGCGGTGTGTTTTAAACCCGGCGCTTTGGAAATCCAATACGATGGTTTCCGCAGATTGATTCGGTTTTTATATATTATCATTTACCTAGGACTGGTTTGCATCTCCAGTCACCTGAGCAACACAAGGTTGATGACACTACAGACTGGATAATATTTATACGAATACCAGTCGAGAAGCGTCCTTTAAACAGATAATTGTTTCAAATGAAAAATTCAGTCGACTTTATCTGTAGTAAAGTAGAAGCCCAGCTATACGTGCCTCGAATGAGGAGACAGACATCCCGAGACAGACTTCCGAGCTAGACTTGGAAGTTTGTGTGTTCATTAGCCGCCTTGAGGTGCCTCTCAGTAGCAATTGATCTTTAATCGCAATAGGCTCCCCTTAGAATGCCTAAGTTTTGGCATTTACACCGACCTATCTACTCACCATTAGAACAAAAGTACACCGACGTAGTGCACTACTCATAAGGTCTCTGACAATTCTCCAACTACCCACGACCAGTTTCTTCCTTGTTGGGCACATTCAGTGGCTTGAAAACATCCCAAACGGTAGATTCAGCTAGTTTCCAGTTGAATATCCCGCAAAATCAAATCGGTTTGCAAATGTATGTAATTCACTAAAATACGTCGAATTTTCTGCATTGTTCACATGAATGAGAAGAGCCGGCTGATCTACCCGCAGGGTGGCAACAGAAGTGAGCGAGAAATGTGACACTCAAAAGAGTAGAGTCCTCTAGTACAGGTGCCAGGTTAGGCATATGTTTTATCCTTCTCATTCCTGTTGGCATGTTCTTGGCCTGGAATTGCGTCGAGGAACAAATAAGGGCGGAGGCTTCTTAATTTCTTGAAAGTTCCTCAACAGGGTTTCGTATAGAGGCTGGGCCGAAACGCGGGTCTTATGTCCTCCTCTCATAACCAAAATATAGGTGTGTTTTAAAAAACTAGTTCAACACTTCAACGATAGGTAGGTCACGCATCATCTTGGTGCGGAGTTTCCATTATATTATTCCAACAGAATGGAGACTACTATACACAGGGAAGGAGGACCTGGTATTTTCTGTGAACAGGCTATCCTTAAATTCGTCGTAACTTAGCTCGTTGCTGATGGAGGACGCTTTTATAGGCCCCACAAACGAGGGGTGCATCCCAGGGAAGTTTTTAGCCGGGAACAGAAACACACTACTGAGTTTCGTCCTTCTAATTCATCAAAAACTGTGGAATTAACGCCGATTTAATTTCGTGTCGGAATTCGAGTTTTCTTCCAAATCGTAGTTGAGCATTATGTTGACTGACCAAGTGAATGTCTTGTTGAACGTATGCAGAATATTCGAGAGATATCAGCAGATATAATGCCTAGCCAAGCTGATGGGTCTTTATAACTGCTGGCTAAGGTTTTGGAACGATCGATTTCAATTTGCGCCTCATTCACATCCTGTTTTAAGACAACTCGCTACACTCCATTTGTATGGCTTAAGAACAAGCGGAAACTATCTGTGGCGCCTGAGTGACCTCGGTGACACTAGGCAGCTTGTGATGAAGTGACTGCAGCCTTGATTCATTATGACCAGATATTGCTGGGATTACAGGACTAGGTTACAAGGGTGTGCGTTTTAGTGATGCTATCACACACTGGTTCATGCAACACAACAGAAATTCACAGTCCTTGGTTTCCCGCTGGCTATTATCCCATCAAAAGTTACTTCCAACCGAACGGCAGATGCATTGTCGTGTGATCCTCCAAGTTAATGTGAAAACGGTCCATCAGTTTACTTCAAAATATTTGAAATCTAGTCAGTCGGTCGGACGGAACTGTTTGCTTAGTCATTCGTCCATGGTTAGGCTCGGTAATTCGCCAGTCAGTGAAACGGAAAACAATGTGCCCGT